CACAGATGACCCAATAAAATTATAACTTGGCAAGGGTTAATAAAGGGTCTGCTCACAAAGGTATGTGCAGGGCGTAGGGAGCAGTGAGGCTGTGGCTGTCCCTGGGCCTGCCTTGAGAAGAGGATGCAGTGGGACAATCTGGAAGTTGCAAGAGTGAACAGAGGATCCCTTGAGAGGGACCTGTGGCTTTCCACTGAGGGGCACAGCTGGCCTGAGGCTGCACACAGGGAACCAGGGAAATTACACGAACCTCACCCTCATTCCTCCCTCAGATCTTCTGTCAGGGCTCCACATTGGCTGAACTTAGAGACTGGTGGGCAAAGGAGCCCCACTGACACTGTCTTCACATGTCAGCCTCTCTGAGAAGGGAGCAGGGAGTGGTGAGTGGTGAGAGGATCCAGAGGGGCAAACAGGAGACGCCCCACACACTACTCTCAAAGGTTAGCACGGAGTGAGTTTCTAAGACAAGCAGGCTGCAGAAAGAAATCTTTTTGGATAAGTTTTGGGAACAATGTACCTGCAGGTTATTTTTTGGTTAATCCTCTTGGGAGGATATGCTTATTGATTTGAGAGACAGACAGACAGACATCAATTGGTTGCCTCCCATAGGAGATGGAACCCACAACCTAGGCATGTGCCCTGACTGGGAATTGAACCCACAACCTTTTGGTGTATGGCATGATGCTCCAACCAACTAAGCCACCCAGCCGGGGTCAGATTATTCTTATAACAGAGTACTACTCTTTCCAGCTGCCATAACTCAGGTGTGTCACAAACATAAGAGCAAAATGCAAGTATTGGACTTGAAATTCATTTTGTGAAGTTTACTTTGTAATAACAAAGCTACTCCTCAAAATAGAAATTGCCTATTATTAACACTGATAAAACTGCTTGCAGAGCATTTTGAAATTTACAGAGGATTATTTATACATAATTTTGTGTGATTCTCTCAATAATTTTGTGAGGTAGGCTGGAAGACAGATCCATTTAACAGATGAGAAAAGTGAGTCTCGAAGAGGCTGCCTAAGATATCATGACAACAAGTGGGAAAGCCTGAATGTGAACCAGGTCTCCTGATTTTAAATTCAGGTGCTTTCCAGAAAAAGACACTCAGATCACTGCAATGACTTTTTAAAGGCAGGAATGATGCCAGTGTGAGAAATATAAGAAATTCTTCCCCTTTCCAAATATGGCTGAGTGGGGTTTGTGGCTGTGATGTTCTTCATTGGTAGCTGATGTTTCACCATCTTCTGTCTGAGGGGATGCTATCCGGTCATGGTTGGGATGGGAATTTGGGTCTTGAAAGTTATACTATCATAACCAAGTTAAAGCCAAAGGGCCCATTTTGAACATCCCTGTAAATCCTAAGTGGGACCCTCATAACTCCAATATTTTATGCCCTTGAACCTGATCCAACCTCTGAAAGAGATATGCTCGGTATCCTAATCACCTCCATGTCTGATATCTGCCCAGTAGTCTACACAAGAGTTATTGGGACAACCATTTGGCCAGTAAGTTTGGCCAGATAGTAATAAGAATAATGTAATAATAATAAAGCCATATGTAGGAATACATTTGGGGAACAGACATGCAGCTCAGGTCCTCATCCTGGGATTTGCAAGGGTGACGTTCTGATGGTTTGACCCTGACTCCTCATCGGCAGCCCCTCCAGTGCTGGAGAGAAGCTACGCCTCCCAGGCAGTGAATCCCTGGGGCGTTCTCTCAGCTTGTTTGTCGTTGTGACATTTTAGAAGTAGTGCATTCACTGTGTGATCTCACCCCACTGCTCTGACAGCCAAACTCAGGATTTTCTTTCTTATGTTAAAAGCATCTGCTTATGTTAAAAGCACACCCTTGTAGACAATAAACAAAAAAATGATATAGAACATTTTTATCACTCTAGAAAATTCCCCTTTCTCTTCCCAGTCTTATCCCTTCACTCCAAAACTTTCTTTAAAAGATAGGCAACCACTCTTCTTATTTCTATCACCATGATTACCATATTTTGTCTGTTCTCGAATGTCGTGTAAGTGGAATCATACAGTATCTGTCTTGTTTTACTCAACATAATGTCTCTGAATGTCATGTTGTTGCTGTGCATCAGTGCTTTGTCCCTTTTTGTTGCTGGAAGCATTCCGCTATGTGAAAACACCACACTTTGTTTATTCTCCTGTTGTTGAATATTTGAGTTCTTTTCACCTTTTGGTCTAATATGAATAAAGCTCCTGTAAGTAAGTAGCTTGCATAAGTCTTTTTGTAGGCAATTGCACTTATTTTTCTGGGTCTATTTGTAGGAGTGGAATTGCAGGTCATATGGTAGGTGTATATTCAGAATTTTTTTTAATGAAAATTTTATTTTGGGATAGTTTTAGACTTACAGAAATACTGAAAAGATAGTGCTAAGAGGTTCTGAACACCTCACACCCAGTTTCCCCTAGTATTGCTATCTTCGATTAGTATGGTGCATTGATCACAATTAATGAGCCAATATTGATACATTATTATCAACTAAAATGCATACTCTTCAGGTTTCCTTAGTTTATGCCTGATGCCCTTTCTCTGTCCAGGATCCCACCCAGGCTATATTACATTTAGTGGTCATGTCTGCTTAGGCTCTTCCTGGCTGTGACAGTTTCTTAGACTTTCCTTGTTTTTCCTGATGTTCTCACCTGTTTTGAGGAGTACTGCTCAGGTATTTGTAGAAGGTACCTCAATTTAGATTGCCTGCTGTTTTTCTCGTGAATAGACTGTGGTTATTATGGGGGTTGGGGAGGAAGACCACAGAGGTAACATGCTGTTTTCATCATCTTATATCAAGGGTGCCTGCCATCAGCCTGTCTTATTAGTGATGTTACCCATGCTCACTGGGCTGATGCTGTTTTTGTCAACTTCCTCCTCTGGAAAGTTACTCCCCCTTGGTCCTTTCATACCATGTTCCTTGGAAGGAACTCACCTTGTGCAGCCCATATTTGCAGTGTGGGGAGTTGAGGGTAGATTATCTCCATAAATTATTTGGAATTCTTCTGCACGGGAGATTTATATTTAAGTTTTAAGAAACTGAAAACAGTTTTCTGAAGTGGTGGTACCATTTTCTACCCAGACAAGCAAGCAATACCCGAGTTCTGTGTGCTCCTCCTTCTCACCTGCTCTATCTCTGGTCTTTTTAAATTTTTTTCTAATTTTATTTTAATCATTGTTCAAGTATACTTTTCTATCCTTTACTCCCATCCCAGCCCACCCACCCCTCCCTCCCCACCTCCCTCCCATTTCCACACCCCCTAGTTTTTGTCCACGTGTCCTTTATATTTGTTCCTGTAAACCCTTCCCATTCTCCCCTGAAATTCCCTCCCCTCTGGTTACCGTCAGCCTGTTCTCTATTTCAGTGTCTTTATTTTGCTTGTTTGTTTGTTTTGTTGTTTAGGTTCCTGTTAAAGGTGAGATCATATGGTATTTGTCTTCCACTGCCTGGCTTATTTCACTTAGCATAATGTTTTCCAGCTCCATCCAAGCTGTTGCAAAGGGTAGGAGCTCCTTCTTTCTTTCTGCTGCATAGAATTCCATTGTGTAAAATGTACCATAGTTTTTTGATCCATTCATTTACTGATGGGCACCTAGGGTGCTCCCAGCACTTAGCTATTGTAAATTGTGCTACTATGAACATTGGGGTACATAGGTTCTTTTGGATTGGTGTTTCAGGATTCTTAGGATATAATCCCAGCAGTGGAATATCTGGGTCAAAAGGCAGATCTGTTTTTAGTTTTCTGAGGAAGTTCCATACTGTTTTCCATAGTGGTTGTACCAGTCTGCAGCCCCACCAACAGTGCACTCGGGTCCCCTTTTCTCCACAACCTCTCCAACACTTGTTTGTTGCTTTGTTTATGATGGCCATTCTGACTGGTGTGAAGTGGTATCTCATTGTGGTTTTAATTTGCATCTCTCTGATAGTGGTCTTTTTAATTTTAATCATTCTTGTTGGTATAAAGTGGTATCTCTTTGTTGTCTTAATTTTCATTCGTGGTTATTAATTATGTTGACACTTTTTCATGGGCTTATTTGCCATTCCTGTATCATCTTTTGTCAAGTATATGTTCCAGTCTTTTGCCCCTTTTTAAATTTGGGTTGCCTTTTTATTATTGAGGTGAGGAGTTATTTGTCTGTTCTGGAAAAGTTTCTTTGGTCAACATCTGAATGACATTTTCTTCCAGTCTGGGGCTTGCCTACTGATTTTTTTAATGGTATCATTTGATGAGCTGGATTTAAGATATTAATGATGAAATTTGGGGTCTAGTGTTGGGTAGTGAACTCTTACCCATTCTATAGCTGATGATGCTAAGCTGTAGTTATGAAGATTAGTGGTGTCCCGGTGGACATAAGGATTGTAACTATGTTTTTTTTCCTCAAGGCATCTGATATTGTTGAGATAAATTGGTACCTGGCGGTTACTGGTGCCACTCTGTCTGGCCAGTGATTGGATGCAGGGTTTGAGGGGCAACAGAAGAAATTCCAGTCTTATCAGGAGAGGCTTAGCCTGTCTGCTGCAGAACTGAAAAAAGGTTCATCTTTACTTTTACCTATGTACTAGAATTTCTGGTTAGGAATGGCTCTGAGCTCCCTGATTTCCTTGGGTTCTATTTATGGTCTAGAATTCTCCATTTGTCTACTTACCATTGACTCTGCAAGCCTCAGAAAAAATAATGGCTCAAGAAAAAAATAGCCACGGCTTAATGTAATGTACAGAAAAAACATAGGGATAGAAACTCCCTTATCTACAAAAAAAAAGGGGGGGACCTGAAATGATTGAGAAGACTTGAAGGTTAATGGCATTCCTGAGTGCATTTTAAAAATTCTAAAAAGTAGTGGGGAAAAGTTTGGATACTAAGAACATGGTTCTGACTTTAAAAAAAATGTTTCCTCTAGGAAAAGAATGTTAGTTTTATTCAGATAAAACTCTCAGAATTTAGCTGTTATTTTTCTAACTACCCATTTTCTTCCCATTTCAGGTAAACCTCTTTGTGCTGCTCTCTGTGGTGTGTGTCCTCTTAAATTTAGCTGGATTTATCTTGGGCTGCCAAGGGGCCCAGTTCGTGTCCAGTGTGCCCAGATGTGATTTGGTAAGCAGTGCTAAAACACCACATGCATTGGGCCCACCAGCCTATCTGGCTTACTTTGGGTGCCAGTGATTGGCTGGCAATATCCCGCACCAGGCAGCATCTTAAAGTGAGGCCTGAAATTAGAAAGGAAGCTGCCTCCTAATTATTTTACTCCGGTTGTCAGTTATTTTTTTCAAGACAGGGACCAGCCAGCAGAACCCCAAACCACAGTAATATAATGCATCATTAGTTAGTTAATTGGCAGATTAGGTATCCATTATCAATATTTGTCTGGTCTCACTGAAAGAAGAAAAATGGATATTGTGAGACTACAGGTTAGCAGTCCTTTATCCACATATTTTGGTGGCCAGATTTCAGAGTTTTTCCAAATTTTAGAAAATACATGTGACGTATTTTTTCTGTAGTGACCTCTTGCAGTCTGGGACAGCAGTGGCACAGAAACTTTTTGGATTTCAGAATTGTAGACCTGTACCATCTCTGAATTGTTTTCTAAGTTTTAATTGTGATAAAATACACATAACATAAAATTTACCACCCTAACCATTCAGTAGTGTTAAGTACATTTACATTGTTTGGCAACCAATCTCCAGAACTCTTTCCATCTTGCAAAACTGAAACTCTGTACGTACTAAATAATAACTCCCCATTCCCCCCACAACAACCCCCAGCAACCACTGTCTTCTTTCTGTGACTTTAACCACCCTAGGTACTTCATATAAGTGGAATCATACAGTATTTTTTTTTACTGGCTTATTTTACTTGGTATAATGTCATTAAAGGTTATCCATATTGTATTATGTGTCAGAATTCCCTTCCTTTTTAAAGTTGAATAATATTCCACTGTATATATATAGCACAGTTTGTTTATCCACTCACTCATCCATGGATGATTGGGTTGATTCCTCCTTTTGGCTATTGCAAATAATACTGCTATGAAAAAAGGTCTACAAATATCTGTATGAGGACCTGCTTTCAATTCTTTGGGGTGTATACCCAGAAGTGAAATTGCTTGATATCTCTAAACTTTTTAAAAGGACTTTTTAGTAACAAGTATTTCCCTGTGACACAAAGCAAAAACAAAATAGTAAATAAATAAATTAATTAAAGAAAAAGACTTTTTAGACGTTGCATTACATGTTACTAATTTGGAATTTGGTGTCAAGGCAGTCTCACCCTGGGAAACCAGCCAGATGCTGGAAGCTGGCTGCCACATTTCTACAAAGGCTGTGATAGACCCTTGCAGGGAAGGAAACTCATGACCTTCCCAAGCAGGAAAGCTCCTCAGGGACTCACTAAAAAACTGCTGCTCCTTCTTAACCCTTTTGATTTTTGTCATTTAATGCTTTCATAACTGTAAGTAAAGGGGCCCCAGATTGCAGCCCTTTCTGGTTTGGAAGTCCCTCTGTGCCTCACCCTCATCCTGCCCACTCCCTGCAGTGACCCACGCTCCCTGTAATTGAGCCAGAGTCTGCAGCTTATTACCCAGGCTCCTGCCCTACTTTCTTATTTCTAACAATGCTGTCTTTCCACCTCCCCCACCCCCACCAAATTCCCTGTGCCTTACTTTCCTGTTCATCCAATGGTCATCATCAGTCTTTTAAAGCCTCAAAGGTGCTTATTTCCTCCTTTAGGAAATAATCCCTGGTCCCCTCACAAGATAATCTTCCACAATGTCCTAGTTCGACACGTCTCAGGCATTTATCCTTTTCTTTTTTGGGTTAAAGATATTCATCCACCTGTCTTCTCTCTTCTTCCAGTTGGGAATTTCCTTGGTTCTCTATTATCTTGGGAGATTTCATTAGCTTCCTTTATATACAGAAGAGTTCCCAGAAAAAAATTTTGAAGAAAGTTTGTATTTCCAATTACTAATTGCACAGCAAAGTAGAAGGAGCAAAGAGAGTACACACAAGTTGGAAGCAAAAAGTCACAATATATGGAAAGATAATTGGGCAAAATTGTAGCATCTGTTATAAGCAAGACACCATGCTAGAGGCTGCAGAGAGTAGAAAGAAAAGTCAGACATCACTTCTGACTTAGAATTTTATCAGTAGCGAGAGGAGTAGGTATACACATGGCAAATGCTTGATCAGTGTTCATAGAGGGAATGAATAAATGTCCAATTACAGAACAGGGTAGACCAAGTTCAGCTATTAGTGTGACAACAGTTCTAGGGGATGCAGGGAAGAAGGGTTTGTGTCCATGGGAAGATGGGGAAGGCTACCTGGAATATAGGCATTTGAGAAGGACTTTGAATAATGAATAAATAAAGGGAATGGGTAGAAACCACATTGGGAGGGCAATAGTGAGAAATTAGCCTAGTGGCTGGACACTGGTAGGTCTGGAGAAAACAGAAGCCAGATTGCAGGGGTTAAGGGTATAGTTGACTTTTATGAGAAATTCTGTGGTTCTGTACCTTGGCTGCCCATTAGAATAAGCTGGGGGAACATTTTTAAAAATATCCAAACTTGGGTCCCACATCCAGAGATTCTCAAATTCTTGGAGATAGTAAAATTGCCCTAGAGTGGGGAGTGGGGTGGGGGGGATGTCAAGGCATAAATATCTGTTTAAACTTCTAAGTATATTTGCAATTTAAAAAATTTTCTCACCACAAAACCAAATCTGTGTTTGTTTCTGATTGTAAAAATTTAAATAAGTCATAAATGTATAGGGCAATTTTAAAAATCATTTGAAATCTTAACTCTTCTGGGACAGTATAGTTACCTACTTGATGGCATTTTCTTGCCATTTTTAATGCATAAAACACACAAGTTTTAATTAGTGGGGCCATGTCATAATTGTTTTTCATTAGGGAGGCTCTTTGACAAATGAAGTCTTTTGGGGTAAGAGATGCTCTCCTTTCTTCTTTTCCTCTCCACCTACATGGGTCACCCCAAATCTATGGTAACATGTGAAGTTAAAGCTGTGTGATTAATTTAGCAAGTGTGAGAGGTGTGGCCTTTCTTTTTAGCCAAAATAGAATAGTCAACTTCAGCAGCTCAAGCAGCAGGGCAAGTAAGAACAAACCTCTGCCCTCAAATTATAGGTCTTGTGAGCCACAGGCAGGTGGTACATATTTTCACAACATGACTCAAGAGAAACTTGGAAAAGGTTTGCAAAGCCTCTTACTAAAATATATATGAAATTACTGATCAGTGACATTATAACTTTAAATAAAGAAAACATGGAAGATGTGAACTAAGATCTTTTTAAGCCTACATGATTTAGGGCTACTACTGTCACTGAAATAATACCACCTGCTTCTTACAGACACATGGTAGACTGAACTTCTTTGCCCTCTTGGAGTTTGGTGGGGCCACATGATTTGCTTTGGCAATCTTTTGGGAGGCAAAGTGTTGAGTGTCATTTCCAAGAGGAAGATTCAAGCTAGGGTTACCAGATTTGGCAAATAAAAACCAATGAATTAAGTTTGAATTTCAAATAGACAGCTCATAGTTTTTACTATAAACATGTCTCATGGAATATTTGGGTCATACTTATACTAAAAAAATGATCTGTTAGTCATCTAAATTCAAGTTTAACTAGGTGTCTTATATTTTATCTGGCAACCCTACTTCAAGTGCCCTTGTACAATCATCCTGTGTCTTCCATTTCTTTGGCATAGTGATGATCAATCCTGAGATGGCGGATGCTCTATCAGCCTGGGTCTCTAGGTGAATATGATGAACAGAGGCCCCTGCTGACCTAAATGGACATGTAGTATGTTCAAAATAACTTTGGTTAAACCACTGGAAATTGGGGCCTGGTTGTTACCACAGCATACCCGAGCCTACCCTGACTGATATACTGACACTAAACCTATATTTCATTCTGTAGGATTGGTGTTCTGTGGTATAGCCTGTGTATTTTTCTTCATAATTAAATTATTGTTCTGCCTTTTTCCCCTTAAGGTGGATTTAGGTGAAGGCAAGATTTGCTTCTGTTGTGAAGAATTTCAACCAGCCAAATGCACAGACAAAGAAAATGCCTTGAAACTCTTCCCAGTTCAGCCTTGTAGTGCAGTTCACCTTCTACTTAAGGTACCTCGAGTGGATTCTACCGCCCAGCAATAAATATACCTCAGATCCCCAGAAAAAACAAAGTTACTTGAAATATTCTTACCGTTACCTCCATCAGTTATGCTGCTGAAAACAGATGAGAACAACCCCTCATCAGTGAGTGACTCAGAGACAAAATTGAACACAGAAAGAATCACATATTATTGTATGTCTTTTAAATTATGGGATGAATTTCTTTGTGTTCAAGAATTATAAAATAGTAAAACATGTAAAGGAGCCTGAGTATATACATATGCATGTACATGTATATATGCATGCTTATATATACATTTATGATGTAGCTTTTAGCAAACCTTGAAGTTGCATACCAATCTGTCATTGTTCTGATCCTCCCGTGTTAGTATAAATGAATCTTGTGGGCTGTTGAGTGCTACAGTTCTGGGACACTTTGGAGGGATATTGGCTAGGAAATATAGGAGAAATTCAAGCACTTTACCTCTTGTTTAATAGGCAACAACTATAATAAACAAAAGGATTAAAAACAAATGATCCTATTTGAAGAGAAATACAAAATTTACCTTTATTAGGGAACTGGATAAAAATCATGTTCTGACTTAAGGACTGTTAGCCCAGTAAGTGACAAGATCAGTTGGTGAACTGTGAGGTATTAGCTTTGGATAGTGTACCACTATCCAAAAGCTAATGATGGCTTTCTTTAGTTAGATCTTTGGGGTTAATTTTTTGTGGGGAGGAGGAATCTCTAGGCAGAGAGAGAAGCTGCCAGCTCTTTGGATTACAAAGGACGTAAAAATGGCTTTCTTTATTTGGCTTGGGGATATTTGGTAGTTGAGTCACCCCCAAACATTCTGAGCCAGGACTTTGCTTGGGGAAAGCCCCACTAAGGAGCCAGGACTGTGGCAACAGAAACTTTTGGAATTGCCTTTGCTACTATTTTGAGATGTGTGTTTGGAGGAGAGAAGCCCTGTTTATACTTGGGCAGCCCGCCCCCTCTGTTGTCCTAGTTGGGTGCTCTGGGCAGCACTGCCAAAAGCTCCTGAAATAGAATCAGTGGCCCCGAATGAAGCAGCAAGCTGTCCTGATGCAAGGCTATGGGAGGGGATGGATGTCACTGGGGACATCAACTTCAGAAGAGAAACTCACTGCTTTCCTGTGAGGAATGTTTCCAAACTGTATTCTGATGCTTGCAAAAAGAACTATTGTCATATCAGGTCTTTCTGGGACAGGAAGCTTCTAAGATAAATTTGTTAAATTAAGAAGTACTCTCTGTTGCATGAGTCATGATAATCACCAGCATTTGGGGGGGCACTTAAAATGTAAGTTCTTCACATGCATTTTCTCATGAGAATTGTCTTATTGGGACAGTATTATTATTTTAAAGTTGTTTTTATATTGCATTCTGGGCATCTCCTTTGAGGTACTCAGTGCCATCATTGTTTCTTTGTTCTAGAAAGTCCTTTTTGCCCTGTGTGCCTTGAATGCCCTGACCACCACCGTCTGCTTGGTGGCAGCCGCCCTTCGCTACCTCCAGATATTTGCAGCCAGGAGATCCTGCAGCGTAAGTCCATGCAAGGTGGCACCGTGACCGTGTCTGCTGAACCTGCCCAGGGGCCTTTCTGTGCTGTTCATTGCTTTTCTCCCTGAGCCTTTGCGGGCAGGCTGTTGACTAACAGAGGTGCTGTTTAATTAGGATGAATCCCAGATTTCTGCTGAAGAAGTGGACGAACACAGACGCATCCCAGACCCCGATGATTTTGTGCCACCAGTGCCTCCCCCTTCCTATTTCGCCACATATTACTCATGCACACCCCGGATGAACCGGCGGTATCGTTCGTAAGTACCCCATCATCCCAATTCTCTGTACCATGCGAGCGTGAGCTCTCTCTCTCTCTGATTAACTGCATGAAACCAAAGAAAAGTCAAACCTTGACCTAAAGATATACTTTTTCAATTTCAATTAGCTTCCCAGGAAAACTGACACCCAGTGAGATAACTGTTGTAATTTGACATGATTGAGAGCTGCTGTTGCCCTAGAAACGCACTTAGTTAAGCCAAATCGATGTTCATTATAACACCATCAGCAGGTCCCCAAATCATGAAACTTCCCAGCCATTATAAAAAGATGAATTATTAATTACTTCTCTCTGGTCTGGAAAAAATAGACACCAGGCTTATTATCATTTTCAAATTCTAGCTAAAAATTTGATCATCAGTTTCTTAACTCTCAGGATTTATTATCTGTAGAATGAAATGCCCCATGTCTTCCTCTGATTGTTACCAAGTTCTAGAATTGTATCTCTCCAAGGAATGACTTAGTTTATTCATTCAACCAACAATTTGATCTGTTCTCTGCTGCTTACTAGTCACTGTGTTGGGTTATTGAGATTCAAAATGAGTTCAATGTCCCTGTCCCCCTCCCTCATATCAAGGAACTTACAGTCTAGGTCATTCAAAGTGAGTGGTGTTATGATCACAGTAAGCGGTACTCAGAGGAGAGGATTTAAGGGCACAGAGGAGAAACACCTAACCTGGAATGGTGGGTGGGCAGTCAGCTAGTCAGGGTTGGCTTCTTGGACAAGGTGAGCTTAAGTTGAATTTCGAGGATAAGCAAACCTATATTTAAGTTTCCAGGAGAGAACCTCCGAATTCTACAGAAAGATGAGTGTCTTCAGCTTGATACTCTGAGGGCCAGGAATTTAAAATTTTTACTCCCTAAGGTACACTTGGAGAGTTGTCAAATTTGGTGCGAGGCATGGTGGTTTTGGAAATCAATTTTTTATGCTTACAGCAGCCATACGTGGCTTTGAAAGAGGTTGCCAGTGCACGCCACCACCAGATGCTGTTAGTGGTTTTTCCTTGGGTTATCTTCCTGACTTGTCCTTCCGAGTCATACCTAAACCCCACCTCAAGCCCCCCACCTGGCCACCCACCTAGATGGATGGAAAGATGCCCACAAAGCCATAGGGGGCATCAGCTGGCTGGACAGAGGGGCTGGGGATGGCTGAGGAGCAGCTCGGCTCCCCTGTTGGTCAGGCAGTGGTGCACTGAAGCTTTGAAGCTTCAGGGTCCAGGGCAGTTTCTTTGGTTTCCTTCTCTTAGGAAATGAGCCAAGAATTTCAGGGGCCGGAGAGACAGCAACAAAACCTATGTTCTTTGTGCACATTAGGGCACATTTGCTAAACCCATGACCCAGTCTCAGGCTGGGTGCAGAGGGTTCATGAGAACAGTAAAATGCTTGGTGTTTCATGATTCAGAAGAGAAATGCCCTCTTGAAGAACTCCTTGGCTCTCTGAGACTGTGGGGGAGCACTTGTTTTACCTAAGAGGAGGCAACAGACAGATTTTATTTCCTGTAGTAGCAGAAAGGGAAAGTGACTCATGTGGGTTTGGGAATTGTGCTGTCCAACAGAGTGTCCTGCCCAGCCCCCCAACCTTCTCTTCTCTCTTTCCTTCGTTTCCTGTGCTCCTCCACAGTCATGTTTAGCAGTGTGGGTATATCCACTCTTGGAAGATATATGTGCACCTCTGGATTTGTCTGTCTGGGTCCTGAGAAAGCCCCTGGCCAAATCAGGTTGGAAGAAGACAGACAAGCTTCTCATCAAGGGCATTACTATTCAGAACTTTCGGAAGGAACATGGGGAAGGGTGTTAAAGCAAAACACTCTTGTGAGAAAGAAGACACTGCTCGGCCTAAACTGTACCCAGAGCCCTAGATCTTATCTCCAATGGGGAAACAGTCTCCTTTGCTGAAATTCCACCAATGTCAAAAAGAGGGAAAGCCCACTTTCTTTTTCAAAATGGCTAAATTTATTCACCTTTATATACATATTCTATCATAGATACTTTTTTTAAAGACTTTATTTATTTTTAGAAAGGGAAGGAGGGGAGAAAGAGAGAGAGAAACATCAAGGTGCGGTTGCTGGGGGCCGTGGCCTGCAACCCAGGCATGTGCCCTGACTGGGAATCAAACCTGCGATGCTTTGGTTTGCAGCCCACGCTCAATCCACTGAGCTACGCCAGCCAGGCTCTATAAGAGATATTTTTAAAAAATGTTTTTCCCTTTAGTCCTCACCCCATGATATGTTTTTATTGATTTTAGAGAGGGAGGAAGGAGGTAGAGAGAGACAGACGGACAGACATGGAGGTGAGAGAGAAACATCCATTAGTTGCTTCCTGTACATGCCCTGACTGGGGATCAAACCCACAAACTTTTGGTGTATGGGACGGTGCTCCAGCCAACTGAGCAATCCAGCCAGGGCTCTCCAGATATTTTAAAATTTGACTGCCTTTGCTAGATTCTCTGTGTAAATCAACTTTATATAGACACTAGATGTTTAATCCCAAGTGGTAATTTTTTTTTCTTGTAAGGCAGACAAAATATTAAGAAATTTTTTTAAGTTTCCACAGCCAGTTGTGATAAGTGTTTTCACACAGTGAACGCTCCCCATTTCTTCTAAGGTGTTCTTCTAAGGCGGGCTGAAAGTGACCTCTCAGAAGAGGTTTATTTACTTAATGTCTATAAACAGAACCACTTCATGCATTCGTCTCCTTGAAAAAGGGCTTCTCAGGTCACTTTCATAACCAAAAGCCTGACTGCAGCCATGACCTTGGTCCAAACATGATCTTGGTCCCTCTGAGTTGTGAATCAGTTTGTCAGAACAGAGGGGCTGTGCACTCTGTCTCCACTACCCCAGGGGCCCCCCAGTCTTAGAAATTGGCTTGAGCCCGAGTTCAAAAGGGCAGAGTCTCCAAACTATTTCGTGAATGTGGACCTACTCGGACCATGGGACCTGCTATAGGAAATTAAAGAAGAGAGGGTGGGAGCCAGGTTGACCTGAGCATTTCTTAAAGATGAAGACAAAGCCCACCCATTTCCTTTACTAATGAGCTTCAACACTCACACGCAAGTGGGGCCAGGCTGTGCTAGCAGTTGACCCAGGGCTCTGCTCTTGTGTGGGGCACCCCTCCCTTGCTCCCCCCTCTACAGGCAGCAACCCTACCACCAGGTGCTCAGTGAAAAGGCATGCACAGCTTTTCCAGTACACAGAGGAAGATCATTCTTTGGTCAAGGACATATTAGTTACTGCATCACCCCCAGATGAGTCCTCAAGGCATATTTGTAGCATCAAAACAACATATTCTGCATGATCTGTCTGAGTTTCTGGTCACCCTCAGGGCTCAGGCCACGAACCAGTGAGGCTTCCTGGAGACTTTGGAATGAATGTGAAAGAGCTCAGGCTCCAGAGTCTCCTAAAAGGCTGACCTTGGGTGATCTCTTTTCATTTCTGAGCATCAGTTTCCTCATTCTTCTGCATTGTCACATGGATACTGAGAGGATTGTTACAAAATAATGGGCATAAAAAAATCTTTCGTAAAGTAAAAGTTTCTGCTGTGTTTCATCACTGTTAATTACTGTGTTTAAAATATTCTCGGTGTGTCTCTTATTCTGAAGGAACAGCCCTTAATCTTACCTCTGCCTTAGTTTTCTAGACAGTCATTCCTTACCTGAGGACATGTTCCCATTGATTTTAGAGAGAGGAAGGGGGAGGGACAGAGAAAGACAGACACAGACAGATATCAAATGGTTGTCCCCTGCAACCCAGGCATGTGCCCTGACCAGGCATTGACCCTATCACCCTTCAATGCATGGCACGACGCTCTAAACCACTGAGCCACGTGGCTAGGGCTAAAGACAGTCATTCTTAATAAAAATCTGATCATCTCTACCAGATATAATTTCAGCCACCACGATCCATTTCCTCTTGCAGTGTTCTGGGTCCTCGCTGTGCATTGGGGTCACCTGGGGCATTAACACCCTACTGATACCTGGGCCCCACCGCAGGCAGTCAGAGCAGAGTCTCTAGAGCGGAGGCCTGGGCCGTCCACACTTAGGAGACCTCCCAGGTGAAACCCATAAGGGTTCAGGGACAAGCCTGCCAGTCAGTAGTAGACCCATTTCCCACAACAGGTCCGTTTTTACCCCGAGAGGTAAATAAGGAAATAAATAAGGGAAAGCTGCTTAATAGGAAAGGAACTTGCCTTCTGCATGAACTCCAGCGGCATCTTCCATCAAAATGAGGCGTCTCCTGGCCATTTCAATAACCACCATAGAAGCCATTTTATTCTGTGGTCAGTTTAGATAAAGCTTATCCCCTCTTTTCTGTCTGTTTTCCTTCTTGAAGAGATTCTGTAGTTGAGGCTGTAAAATGGAAGCCATTTGTCCCCTTGGCCCTAAACAAGCCCTTTCTTCTCTGTGCACATACTGTGTAGGGAGCCACTGGTGTGGGAATACAAACAGACCACCAGAGCTGACAGACAGACAGACAGATGGGGGTACTAATTTTCCAGGCCAGGGCACAACAGTGAATGCTGGCACAATTGGCTGAGGGGGAAAAATCCAGGGTTTCCAAGTGCTAGAAAGATGGCTCATGAAGTTTATGTTAATTAACGATTGAAGGCTGGCCCTCTGGAGAGGACAGGAGGAGGCCCTAGGTCTCACTGAGTAAACCAGTCACCTTATTCATTGGCCAGGAAAGTGCTTCAGTCCAGTCCCAGAGGATTTGGGTTCCTGGCAGCTCCTGGCGCTTACAGTTCTTAAACAGCTTTGGTTGAAGTGGAGAGTTGGCAAAACACCCATGGGCAAGTCCTGCTGGGAGGGGAGCACATAATATCCCTTTTGATAACTTTACCAGGACCCCAGCCCGGCACCGCTGGGAGAGACCCTTTGTGCTGGTGCCTCTCTTTAGGTCTTCTATGTGCTCCGTACCAAGCCTGCACACATCCCTGCAGTAGCTGTCAAAACATAACCTCCCTTCCCGTTCGGGTCAAGCCGGAGATGAGAGTCTTCCTTCAGAACTAAGATAAAGGAAAAAGTGGGACAGCTTTGTTTTTTTCTTTTTTAATTCAGGCTGTAGAGTCTCATTCTTCTAAATCCCAGATGTAACAATAAAGCTTTATTGTTAGCAATAAAGAATGTCACATCTTTTTCAACCTCTTTTCCTCCATCAATTACATTTTTGAAAACGGGCACCAAGGATAACAGGAAATGGCCATAAACGTAAAGAGCACCTTTCCAAAGAAGCAGTGCCCGGCGTGAACTGGCTCTAGAACCTGTTTCCTTATAGTCTCCTTTAGTGCTTGTCTATTCTTGCATTTTAACAGCAGATATTAAACTCTGCTGTTATCAACTTTTTTCATTCTCCAGTACTCCAAGGCTTGAATACAGGTTTTTTTTTTGTATTCTGTATATTTAAAAAAAGTGATGGATATTTGAAATGGAATACAATTTTAGGTATACAACATAATGATTCGACATTTGTATGTATTACAAATGATCAACAAAATAGGTCTAGTTAACATCTATCACCAAACCCAGTAAAGAAACTTTTTTCTTGTGATGAGAACTTTTAAGATCTCTGTCTCAGCAGCTTTCAAATACAATACTGTATTATTAACTACAGTTACTGGCGCTTACAGTGGCGGCCCATCACATCCCCAGGAATTATTTTATAACTGGGGGTTTTATTAGAAGGTATAAACTTCTATGTATTTTTAAATTATTGTTTTAATATTTAGGGTCTTTGTTATATAGATCACATGTGTGGGTGTGTAGTTTTGTATGGACACTGGCAGAAAATCTTGCAAGGTTTTTGTTTTTGTTTGTGCTTCTGTTGTCAAGGGCCCTTCACCCACAGGACAGGAACCACAGCGCCTGGTGTGCAGCCAGCGCTTGGTCGGTGTTTGTTGAAGGACTGCCTTCAGGAAGAATCAGTCCCTCCGGGGTCCCCCCTGCCGTGTGCTGCTTTGTCTCTGAGCTGTGTGCTGTTCACTTTATTTGAAAACTTTATTTCTTCTTTCAAACATTTTCTAACAAATATTAATGTCACTCTCATGAATGAAACATCAGGAAAACCCAGGCAAGAAAGTTGTTCTGCACTAATGTAAGAAATAATTGAGGTTCCCTGTGTCTATAGTTTTGTTTTTCTTTAATTGAGGTGGAATTCACATAACCTGAAATGAAACATTTGGAAATGTACAATTCAGTGGCACTTAGTAAATGCACACTATGGTGTAAGCATGCCTTCCATCTAGTTCTAAAGCATTTTCAGCTCCTCCAGGGAACTGTGTGTCTTTAATTGGTCATTCCCCATTCCTCCCTTCCCTTCCTCCCTGCCCCTGGCAATCCTCAAGCTGCTTTCTGTCTCTTAGAAATTTTTGCTTACTTTTTGCCTAGTAGATTGTACAGGAATGATAGTACTGCATACTATGTGTTGCTACTTGCCTGAGGATAACCATCTCCAGGCAAAGGCCAGCAAGCTGGAGCCACTAAGGTCACCTGGTCTCTCTGAAGAACTTGCTTCCTGATGCCAACATACTTTTCCTAGGATGGGTGGTCCCAATATTATTCCGCTGCCGCATATATATGGAGCCAGAATCAAGGGCGTGGAAGTATTCTGTCCTCTGGATCCCCCACCTCCGTACGAAGCTGTGGTGAACCAGACGGACCGGCCGCAGGTACGGAGCACACAGTCTCTCTCCGGTTGAGCACAGGCAGGACAAGCAGCTCTCGGCTCAGAGAGAGGCGGGAGCCCGTGCACCGCAGCCCCGTGCCTGCATTGCTGACCTTTGTCAGAGGTTCACTGAGCCAAGATGATGCTTGAGTAGAATATTACCCAATCTTCCTCTTTTTTTCCTGTGATTCAGGCGTCTTCATTCCAAATGTCAGGAGGATCTGAAGCTGCCAGAAGCCCGATGGAACAGGACTGCGTGACCATGACTCAAGGTAATAAACCCATTTTTCACTGCCAGAACCTGTGATTCTGAAAATTAGAACATGATCAAATAATGATTTTGTGGCATTTTATTGGAGATCAGATATTTTTGGAGCAAATGAGTCAAGCTGTGTCCTTCCTTAAAACTACTATCAACTTTAGGGCTTACAGAGGGAGATAACATGTGGACAGAAATACAGATATCCTTAGAATCTTTTGTGAATAACCGAACTATTCTCTGGGACTGACCCGTGAAATAGATTTACAGAGTTTAAGTTGGCGGCATTCTTACATTTTCCAACTGAAGATTTTTTTCACTTCTATTAAAATAAGACGAGCTCTTTTGAAGAGAAGAAAGCATTTCATTTATTACGGGGTGATTTTCTGTGAGATTACACTGTCGTTTACCTAGGGTTCAGGGCATGTCACCTTAACAGGGAGTGATTCCTGATTTCCAGACCTGAGTTAAATACTAGAGTCCATTTATATTTCTCTTTGTGATTTAAGGTAACAGTGTTAAAGCTCTCTCTTTGGAGAGGTTTTAAATGGCCCAGAGAATTGCCCACCAGGACAAAATTGCACACGGTCACAAATAATGGATCAGCATTTGGCTCTTTTAGACGGAGGTGATTTTTCAGTAGCACCATTGGGGGTTGTGTTTCTGTTCTGTTCACCTTCTGTCTTATGTAGAATTAGGCAGCGGCGCTCTGTTTCCCGAATATGTTTGCAGTTGTCCCATTTCTTAAAAAAGTTTCTCCGACCACACTCAGGCTCACAGATGATGTGATTTTATTTTCCTGAGCAAAAGTCATCCAATTCCAGAGTGGTTCTACTGATTCATTTAGTGGCTTCTAGCTCTTTAATGCAGTTTTCCAGAACTTTCACAGTGGAGCCTGTAGGCATCTACCGCCACCGCCCCTGCCCCCCCAACCCTGCCTGTGCTCCATTTACAGCCACCAGGGCAGCCATCTTGCTGTGAAGGTCCTACCGCCCACCTGACCCAGCTCATCCAGAATGGTCAGAAACTGTAAGATAGGTGGGAGCTTTCTGATGCTGAAGGTGGACAGGATGCTTTCCTGGAGAAGGTGCTAACACCTTTAGAAAAAACTGATATTTTGGCAGGCTTCTTTACTTCAGCTTGGATTTGGAGGGGTTTGTTTGTTTGTTTTAGACTTGGAGTGCCGGTTTGGAGAGGCAGCGTTTCCCGTAGTGCTGGGAAATACAAACGTCCTGGGCCTGCTGCCTAAGCAAACGTTACTAACTGTGCTGCCCTCACCCCCAAGATTCGGCCTCACAGGTGTTTCCTACCCAAAATTTTGAGGGCTGTGGCTAGTGAAATCAATTTTCTTTCTCCTCTTAAAAAATTATTTAGATGGGGACATTCCCAACGCACCTGGAGAAGAAAGTGCATCCACTTCAACTGCCGACTCCAACCAGCTGCGTGCTGTGGAGCGCCGGGGACCTCCCCGGCCCCTGAGGAGAAGATCGAGGAGTGACCCCCTGTTCCGTCGTCGTTCTGTGGAGAGAGGTGAGGCCATTCCCCAAGCTCCCCTCAGAGCATGCATCTGCCTCCAGGTGCCAGGTGGAAGTAGGGGGGCAGGAGGTGGGGTTGTGGCTGCCTGGGACCCTGCATTTGAAAAGCTATCCTAAAGGAGGTTAAGAGGTCTTGAGGAAGTAAGGTATTCTACATGCACATCAGGAATATACATCTGCCATGTCTTTTAAGGTTGGTAGGGAACTGTTCTTTTTAAGCCATTTTATTGAATGCATTTGGTTGCGGATGATCTGGTGGTGGGCGCTGCACAAAGATACTAACACAAACCCAGTTCTGCTTTCCAGGTGCTCGCGATCCTGTGGGGGTGCACATTCTCTCTCACGGAAAAAGTCAAAGGGTGGTAATTTCATCCCCTCTTCTACACTTTAATATTAGTTATCTTTCTACTGTGTACAGATAGGTTAAATTCTTTAAATCCAACCTTGTTTTTGAAGAACTTTGGTTAGAGTGAAACCCACACTTCATCTCCATCCCTTTAGGGGTTTGTTTATATATAGATGCTATTTGAATATGTGAATATCTGAACATCTCCAAATATGTCTTCATTGTAGAAAACTGTAAAAAATACAGGAACTAAAGGAAGAGAATGAAAACCCAAGTGGCTTATGCTCTCCTCGTGCTCTATGCTCTACTACTCTCCCCTTGCCTTCTCCGGGGTCTTGTGTCACCCCCATACATTCTGGTTCCGTCCCTCTGACAGCCTGCATTGTTTGCGCAGCTCTGGACTGACTGTGGGGAGCCAGAGAGAACACTGCTCTTGTCTCTGCTGTGGCTCCTGACTGGGGAGGAGCCCCAGCGCCTGGGACTGAGTGCGCCTTTGCAACCCCAGCCGGCTGGTGGCCTGGGCCCTTAGCTCCCAGGCCGGTCTTCACTGGGGGTCCCTGCCCTGCCTGGCAAGTTGAGGACTCAAGCTGGCCACTTGCTGGCCTCAACGGGAACTTTGCTGTCCGCACAGCTTAGAGAGATCTTTACAGAACCCGTTCCCATCCTGTAGTGCTGCAGGGGTGGCACGTGTTCACCTGTGGGAGCCCTTGCTGTGGAAGGGACCAGCTTGCCTTCACGTGACTGAGTGCACACCCTGTCCTAACACGGGCATGTTTGTAGGGATTGTTACTGGAAGAGTCTAGCTCTCTGGGTTAAGCTCATGGCAGCCTAGGTGAACCGCCACTAACCACTGTTTAGAGATCCTCATGCCTACTTTTCTCCAGAGGAAAAGGATGCTCTCCTTTCTCCACCTCTTCTTCCACCCCTGCTTCCTTTCCTCACTGAATATCTCAGTTCCTGCTTGTCAGGCCTTCACAGACCGGACTCTCCAGTGCTGTGTCCACTGACAGCTGCTGACTGGCTTCTGACCACGTGGAAACACCAGGCCCGAGTGTCACGTCACCCACCCAACGGTGCAGCAATGTTCTGCCAGTCCTTGTACTCTTGCTACAGCAGGTAGTCGTGGAAATGAGAGCCTGTGGTGGGTTTCCCAGGCCCACTGTTGACTTTTGGAATCACGCAGTGCTTCTGTGCTGAGGTTTCTCCTTCTGTAACCATCAGCTATAGAGCTGCCTCACAGCCGTGGTGTGGGCACTGGTCATATAAGTCTGTACAGTGTCCTTGAGGACATTTAGGAAAAAGGTACAGTCAAAGTGAGCAGAGCACTGCACTCAGCCCACAAGTCTTGTCTTTCCTTAGTCCCTGTCTCCAAGTGGCTCCTCCATCCTCCCCCTGTGGAACATTCTTTCATCAGTCAGCCATGTTTTGCCTGCTTGCCCCACATACTGGTCATTACCCATGGAACTGTGGCTCCGCTGTGGTTTGTATTCTGGGTGTTCTCCTCTATCACCTGGCTTCACCTGGGGGGGTCGTGTTTCATGTGGCACAGTGAAGTGTTTCGGGGACATGTCCTGTTGGAGCTACATCAGGAAATAAGCTTGTGTCACAGTTGTTGGTTTTGCTTTCCTTTTCCTTTCACAAAATGAAAAAGCAAGAGGTGCATGGCTGTCGGCATTTGTCACGGACTTTCCACACTGAGTTTAGGTAGAGGCGTGTGTTCACAGGGGCACGGCCAATGGGTACGTGTTGTTTGTCTTTGTCCACAGCCACTCCCGTGCTGAGCTGTGAAGCTGCGACTCAGACTGAAGGGAGACTGGATATGGCTGCGGTGACCTTGAGGAGGGGTCTGAGATCCAGAGTCTCAAGATGCAGACCCCAGTCTCTAATAGATTACAAATCTTACGTAGACACCAAGGTGCTGGTGGCGAAGATCCTGGAGCAGACCCCTGGCAACATCAACCCGGACATCCATGAGCTTGTGGAGAGCATTAAGTCTGTTCTGAAGTGCGACGAGGAGCACATGGAGGAAGTCATTGCAAGTGCCCGTGTCCTCGAACAGGTAGTTTTATTACTGTTTGGTGTGAGTCAGATAACTTGTTTCCACAGCTGCCAAAGTGGCTTCTCTGATTTCCTGTCCAAGGCACAGTAAGTTCAGTGTCACCGTGTCAAGGGAAATATGGTCTGGGCAGGGGGAGGAAGCTGGAGCACTTTCTTTTCAGGGGTGGCGGCTTTTCCACAGTGTTCTTGGCTCAAAGGAAGAGAAACCCATTTTCCCCGGGTGTGGAAGGCTGGATAAAGAAAAGGGTGTGGCTTGTGGAAGAAAGCAAGGCTTCCGGCCGAGTGGTCACGTTTGGCAATTGCTATCCTCTGTTGAAAGTTTCCCTTGTGCAGCATGTTTTTTTCAGCCCTTCGACAATGATGGACATACGTGAATTTTAATATAGCCAAGGTTCTGGGGGTTGTTCATATTCTCATAGAATGTTTAGCAAGACACCTAATCTGAGAGGACTGAAAGGAATACCCACCTCTTCCTTCCCATAGGTTAAAAAATGCAAGGCAACCCCTGACGAGGAGCTAGAGGGGAAAGACACAACTGGGCACGTCAGTGACACACTTAGATATTGGGTTTCTCATCATAAGTGCAGGCTTGGACTAGGGGGTCACAACACTGATATCTCTGAGTGAAGGGGTTTCCTTCAGGTGAGAACTGGGTGTGGGTTACAGCCTCAGCTACCCACTGGTTTTTAAAAGTGGGCACCTTTGAGGCATTTACTGCATTGCCCAGGGATGTGGGGCAGTTGTTGGAGGCACTGGTACACAGTGCTCACCCTGTTACCTGGCTGTGCCTGCCTGTCTGCATCAAGTGCCCGGAGAATACTTCCCGAGTTGAAATGGGCTGATGCACAGGTCAAATTTCGAGGCAGATTGACGAAACCCCTTTCTCACTTTCCTTTCTGTTCCCCCTTTCTGCCTTCTGGCCTCTTCTAACTGAAGCCAGAAGCCACATTCTCTCCCAGCCCCTCAGGGGACCCAGGGGAGCTGAGCACCATCTGATTACTCACAGGAGGGAGCACACGAACGTGGACCCTCTTATCTGCTTTCTGAAAGAGTGGTTGGCGCGTGCTCCTGGGTCAGGCTCTACTTCGAATCCTGTGTAGCAAAGACATTTTACATCTTGTGTCCCTCTGGTCTATGCAAAATGTCATTTCCTGCTTCCTTTCCCCTGTCCAGCCTTAGTAGCTCACTAAACAGCGGCAAGCATTGAGAGCCACTCAAATGCCACCACGCTGTGTTGAGGTAAGGGCTGGAGAGTCTGCCGAGTGGTTGGTCTGGACCTTCCACAAGGTCTTGTTCACTGCAGAATCACTCTGGGGCAAAATGACAGGCGCTTAGAGCCCAACAGACGCCATCAGCTCAGATACTCACTGGGCTTTTGCACAGACTGGATCAAAGTTCAGTGCTGGGTCTGTTGCAATAGACTTGGGCTGCTTGCTGGCGCCTCCCAGGACTGGCCCCCGGGGTGACGCATGATAGGGCTGCCCCCACCACAGACAGCACGAGGCAGGGACAGGCAAGGGGAGCTTTTGTTTGGGGCTCTTCCCAGCTTTTGCACATTTTCCACTTACTTTTTTTTTTTACTAGAATGTGTTTTTTTGATCCATTTTAAATTTTGACAATATCACAACCACTTGTTCTAACATATATGTAACAACAGACGACATCTATCAATGCTGAAATTTTCTTCTTAATCAGGAAACAAGGACAGGCCTTAAAGACAAATATAATAATAGAATGTTAGTGAATTTAATGTCTCTTCTCTTTGGGGGATTAACTTTTTAATGACTTTAAAATCTGAGAATGGTGCAAACGAAGCAAAATGTCATCCCAGGGGTCGTGCTGTGGTGTGGGTGGCGATGAAGTGCCAGGTCTGGGGTCTTCCCCAAGGCGCTCACAGTGCCACAGGCCGTACCGTTGGGACTGTGCAGCATAAACACTTGTGTATAATGAGCCGTCTTCCCCTTGTCGGTCCAAGTTGGATGAAGAATTTCTCGTATTTTTGTTGTTTTTTAACAAAATAAGTGATACTACAATGTATTTAAAGTTATGTATGCAGTATATTATAAAAACAGATCTATTCTTAAGAGTTTTTTACAGATAAATTGGCCTAGTGGTTATGTTGCTTATTGAGGGGTTTTTAGAGCAATTAGAAGCATCTTTGGTTTTGGTTGAGGGGTTATATACTCACCACCTGGTCACCATGTCAGGCTAGTATTGAATGTTTGAGTATGCTAGTGTCGCCTGGGTTCTTGTTGGGGGATGCTTGCGCCCCACCCCCAGACTCACATGTCAGAATCAGTGTGGGGAGAGCCGGGAAGCTGGTCCCAGTGAGAGTCACTGGCTTAGGCCACAGAGGACTTGGAAGAAAGTGATGAGAAATGTTAAATATAAAGAAAGAAATTGCAGTAGATGAATCAGTAAAGTATAGGCCAGCCTACAATTGAAACCATAGGAAATTTGGGAAATGTCTTAGGAACTTTAGAAAAGAGACAGCCTGTTAAGTCTCTCTGGAATTCCCAGTGGGTTTCTCTTTGGGAAAATACCCTCTTCTCTTCCTCAAGGCAACTGAACATGACAGGGATGGATATAGGTGGCAGGTCCCAGGATCATAACTGGTGAAGCTTAACCTCTCCCCACCCTCTTTATTTTATTCTCCCAAAGATCATGGCACCCGGGCAGCCCGGCCCTATCAGGGCCCGCCGCCTGCCCTTGCGGAGACTGCCTGGCCTGCTGCACCTGCAGAGCTGCGGAGACCTGAGCACCTTCGTCTCGGCAGGGAGGCTGAGAGGTGATCGGAGACCCCGGCGTGCGGCTGAGCGGCCACATAGCCTCATCGGTGTCTTTCGGGAGACTGTCCTGTGAACCAGCCAGACCAGGCTCCTGCGGAGTAGTTTCCAGGGTCGGGGGTGGGGTCTCCCTCTGGGAACTCCTCAAATGAGGGGTACTTCAGAGGATGCTTTTTCCCGCTCTGTCTTCTTTTTCTGCTGACCCCGCAAATGATCGGCTCTTTCTGGGCACACTTAATTTTTGGATGCATCAAGTTGGAGATGGTGAAGACAGCATTTCTCTTTCCTCTGCCGGCCCCCTGTCTCGGTGTAGGGTCCCCCACCCTTTTCGCCTCTCTTATTCCCTGAGCTCTCTGTCATTGCTGGGCTGCTCTTGGTCGCTCTTGGTGGCCTTGCATTGGTATGAAGCATGATGATTAACTCCCATGTTCTCTAATCATGAAAGCCCTTTCTGCACCCTGAAATCACACTATCTTTAGAAAGACAGGAAACTCCGTCAGTGACAAATTGTCATGAAGGACATCTAGGGAGAGTATTCTTGTCGACTCTGCTTCTTCTTGCTTGCAAAACTAGTGATGACTAAGGCAGATCCGAGAATAAAACTTTTTACTTTTTACCTATGCACTTGGTGTACATTTGTGTATGTGGACGTGGCCGCGCCTTACCTTACAAAGATTTTGGAACTGGGAGTAGTGGTGGCCAGGTTCAGGCAGGCTACCAAGCCAGTTTATTCTCCAGAGCACTTGATCCCTGCGCTTAGGTGTAGCTTGGCCGAATGGCTTCGTGGAGCTGCCTTGGAGTGGGACCGTGAGCAGTAAATCGGTAAAGTGATTACAGATTGGGCATTTGTGCTAAGAAGGAAGGAGGTGGTTAGAGGAGGCTTCTTTAGGGAAATGACATTTACAATGAATTTGACTGTGAGGGGCAGGGAAGGGTGTTCCAGCAGAGGGAACAGCCAATGCAAAGGCCCCTAGCACTAGAGGCTGCTGTGAAAGCAGCCCTGAGTGAGGGGAGAGGTAGAAGGAACTTGGGCTGGATTTTGTGCTAATGATGGGGGAGTTTTCAAGATGAGTAACAGATGTAATTGGTGTTTTGAGAGGTCACAATGTAGAGCAGAGACTAGGTCAGGATATGGGATAAAGGACTTGAGCTGAACAGAGAGGTTGTACTAGGAGAGGACTGCTGCCCTTGCTGGGCACTGCCTATGCCCCAGGTGCTGTGCTGGGGATTTTACTCTCATTTTACCCCCACCACAGCCTGAGAGGTGGGAGCTGTGAGTGTCTCCATTCACAGAGGAAGAAAACAAGATTACTCAGTAACCTCGCCCAAGGTCACTCAGAAGTTACGTGGTATACATGCTCATCTCCAGAAATCACTCCACTCCCCGGCCTCCCTAATAGTAGTAGTTGGCCATTCTTCATTTCTACGAGAAAGTGGTTGCTAAAACTTCAAGCTTGGCTCACTGAGGACAGATGCCCAGGCTCCCAGGCCACCAACTTTGCCAGAGTGGGAACTGGCATGAGGTCAGGGGACTGAGTGATGCAAAGGGGAAGACTGGGGGCACTGAGCTGGGGTGAAAAGTGGGCTGTGGCAGCAGATCTGGAAATGAGGGAGAACGGGGGCCGGCGAGCAGCCAGGGGCCTAGCCTGTTTCCCTGGGTGAGCGGTGTTTATGGAGAGGGTTTACAGGAACTTCCCAGAGTGGGGTTTTCTCTGTTCCCCTCCACCCAGCCCCAGACACTGAATCCCCAAGGAAGCGAATGCTCTTCCCATTTCTTTAGAAGTCCTCACTGTCAGGGCCAGAGCTGTCACTGGGGGCTGCCCCACTTCCCTGGCACAAGCCCCCCTGTCCTCTTTGAGGGTCTCCACTGTGTTCCAATGGTACCAGCCCCACGCCTCACCTGGGCTCTCGGACTCCATACCACGCACTACCCAGGCCAGTTGCTGTCCTCCGTTATGGCTGCTAGTTTGTACCCCTGGCCTAGTGTCTCAGGGCCAAGCCAGGAACTCTCAGCCCACCAATTTGTTCCTCCCCTGTGGCTGGGGAGACAAGGCCCGGCCTTCTTCTACCCAGACACGGCTGGGTCTTTCCAACCTGTCTAGGCTTCTGTTTTTTTCCCCACGCCAGGAGGGCATTTTCTTTTTTTCAGCTATATCCCTTCCCGCCTTCCCTTCTGAACTCCTTACGCTCCACCTCCAACCACCACCACAGACCTCTCCGTCTAAGGCGAAGGCCCAGGAATGATTCAGAAACAGTCACCAGATGCTCTCAGCCACCCCGAGGATGGGGAAATTGTCAGCAACAACCGGAAAAGGAAAGATCATAAAGACTGAGAGCATTGCTTGACCGATATCAGGAGGAAGGGGGGAGCTGTCTCAGCTTTGAAGATTTGACCTTGCAGTCTGGGGAATGTGCCACGTAGTTCTAGCATTTGAAGGTATTGGTGAAGTCAGAAAACTGACTTCTACCTTGCTTCTCAGACTTTAAAGAACATTAAAAATATATATTCTATATGACAATATATTATGATACCTAATACAATATTTTATCTACATTCGCCCGGGGAGGGAACTTAGAGGTCGTGCAGTTCATCTCCCTGTCGGTCTGCATGTGATGTACTTTAAAGCACATGTGCATTAACATGCCACACATGTGCACACATAATTAAAGATACACAGGGAGGGCAGCTCTTTTGCACCTGGAGCAACCTTAGGAATCCACAGTCCAGAGTTGGTAATGAAGCATTTCAAATGTAGTTAATCAAAATTACACCAGGGTGCTGGTTCGTTACTGTGGAGGGTATTTGAAATAAGCTGTCCCTGGTGAAGCAGGCCATGTTCAAGTTCTGTGGCTGGCTGGCAGCCCTGCTGCTGCACCAGTGAGGTGCAAGCACCTGTCCCCACCATCCCGAGGTCATCTGGGGGTGGACCAGGATGCAACTGCGTCTCTAGAATAACGTTGCCTCTGCATCACCCTTTCACGGGAGCTGAGCATCCACATGTGTGAGGACAGAGACTGGGACTTGCCCGAGCTCACAGGCTGTCACTGTGCAGACTTGCCAACTAATATTTGCGTCTGGCTGGCAGAATTGCCCCAACACTTGCTTTTTGTAAAACATCCCATCTGATGTTTAGAAGAGGTTTGGGGGAAAGGAGCTATGGCCCCTAACTGCCTGAGGCTGCCATACTTTCCAAAAGACCCAGATATTTGCTGACTGACCACATTGGCTCGGTCCAGTCATTCTACCCTCTGAGCCTGCAGATGAGGAACTGAATCTTATTGTCAAGAGCAGAGCAGTGGTGGGAGACTGGAGCTGCTGGTGCAGGTCAGAGCTTCTCAAACCATTTGGGATGAAGGACCAATGTTCTCCCCGCTAAACTCTCATGGGCCAAAAACTCATAAATTATAACAGATGAACTGAAAATGCTCTCAGCTTGGCTACTAGAACAGTGTACCTACTGTAGACTGGGTGGCTTGAACAACAGAAAGACTTATTTCTCACATGTCTGGAGGCTGGGAAGTCCAAGATGAAGGTGCTGGCAGATTTGGTGTCTGGTGTCTGGCGAGGACTCTTACGGGCTTGCAAACAGTCACCTTCTTGCTGTGTCCTCATAAGGCAGAGAGAGAGCTCTGGTCTCTCCATCTTCTTACAAGGGCACTAATCCCACTGTGTGAGCTCAGCCCTCAAGAGGTCAACTAAACCCAGTTACCTAAATCCAAATGCCATCACACTGGAGGCTGGGGCTTTAACATAGATGTTAAGGGGACATAAACACTTAATCCATAGCACTGAAAATAAAATATTAGTAAAAAAGACATAAAATACAATCCCCTTTTATTAAAGAGATTTTCTTTTTAGAGCAGGTTTAAGTGCACAGCAAAACTGAGCAAAAAGTACAGAGATGTCCCATATGCCTCCTGCCCCCACACAGGTGCAGCCCCCCTCTGTCAGCAGCCCCATCGGAGTGGCACGCTGGTCACAGCTGATGAGCTACATTGACACATCATTAGTACCTGGAGCTGCCCATTTAAGGGTTTGAACAAATGTATAATACGTATTCATTATTATAGTATTATACAGAGTAGTTCTCTGCTCTAAAAATCCTCTGTGCCCTGTCTCTTCATCCCTTCCCCCTAGCTCTTGGCAGCCACTGAACTTGTATTGTCTCCACAGTTTTGCATTTTCCAGAATGTCATATATTTAGGATCATACACTATGCAGCCTTCTCAGATTGGCTTGTTTCACTTAGTCGTATGCAGTTGAGTTTTCTCCTTGTCTTTTCATGACTTGATCATCCATTCAAAGCCCTTTTAAAATAATTCGATTCAGCAGTGATAACGGTACTCTACCAAGTTAATATTGCAAAACACCCTCACAATCTGAACTTGGTCTTTTCAGGGACCAGGAACAATGACTTCTTGGCCAGCTCTGAGACCCACACTCTGAGCGGTGCTGGTTGGGAACCCACTGTAGCCTGAGTTTCCCAGTTTCTCTGGTGCCCGTTCTGTGTGTGGGGCCTGGGAACATGGAGAAGAGCACGGGGAGAGGGAGCTTGGACAGACGCCCTTTCCTCTGCACCTGCACGTCTGTGGGAGCCCGAGAGCTGAGGCTCCCTCACAGACATGCGCACGCTGCAAGGGTCCAGGCTTCGGTGAGTCCCTCAGGATTAGGGAAAAAAATGGCAGTGGGAAGAGGCAGCTGCCACCTCCACCCAGCAGAGAGGACTTGGGGAGGCAGGACAAAGGAACACATCTCCACCTTCCCCAGGCGGGGGGTCGCAGAGCAGAACAAAGAAGGGGGTGAGGCAAGGGGCCAGGGACAAGGGCATCTTTGTTTACCCAGTTCTCCTCCCTGGGGCCTCTGCAAGGAAGCCAAGTCTGGGGCCAAAAGGCACCATAATTCTTCATCTCTGTCTCTGCAGGAACCTTCATCCTCTCATTCAGCAGGTATTTATTGTGCTACACAGTAGCAGGCAGAGTGCCAGGTGCTTCTGGAGAGAATGCCAAGCAGAGAGAGGGGAAAAGACAAAAACAGTACAAATAATAAATGCGAAGTTACATTTCCCTTGCCCGCCACTGCTGAGCTGCTCCCAGGCTCCTCTGGGAGGCGGGGGCAGGCTCTGTCTTGGATGACTTTGAAGACCAAAGGGCCTGAGCCTCATCTATCAGAGGGCTGATTTGCAGTGATCCCTTACCCTGGTGGTGAAACAGGGCTTGGGGGCAGGGGACTGGAGAAGCTCTGCAGACCTGAGTTTGGGGTAGCAGGGAGGCACCACCTTGGGGATTGTGAAAGAAAAAGTACTCTTGACATCTGTTAGAAACGGTAAGGAAGACTTTATTGAAGAAGGAAGTACTACACTGGGCGTTTGCAGTAGGGAGAGGAGTCGGGTTCAACTCTGAGTACAAAGACAAATGGAGATTTATAGCCAAGGAGCAGGGCAGGGTGGGGGTGGGGGGGGTGGGCGGTCAGTGGGTGGCAAATGGCTAAGAGGAGGGGACATCAGGGCCAGGGGTGTCTTGCTTGACCAACTCAACAGGACTCTTGCTGAAGACAGGCCAGGTGTGGGGAACGAAGAATTTGATCTGATATTGAAAGTGTTAAAGAAAAGAAACAGGCCCACATG